GAGTGTGTCACTTGTGCTGCAGTGACAGTACATATACCGTATAGTATACCCCATGTCCAGGATTTCTGTATGTCCTGAAGCCTGGCTGAAGTTAGTGCTATTGTTCCACCTTGGCTGTGGGACATCAACAAACCCTGGACAAATGTCCAAAGACAATATGATTTGTCTGGACAAGTTTCTTGATGGATGAAAAATGTTTATTTAGAACAATGGGTGATTAAATTTGAAGGTCATAATGAAACACATCTTGAGTGTAATAAATAAATGACACTGGACTTGCTTGTGCAAGCAAATATATGGCAAATATTCTTTATTCTTACTCTTTGGAAAGTTTCTGAGCCACCTGGACTTCCCTGGACATTTGCTGATTTGCCTACATGTAGATATGAAAATCCTAATATATTTTCTTTACTTTTAAAGGCTGATAGTAAGGAGGTGGCTTCTGAATCCAGAGGACCCTGCAGCGTGGGGACTCCTTCTTGCCTCCCAGCTGCTGAGACCCTAGAGGTGTTTCCCTCCCAGTCCCACAGGATGTTCCTGTTTGTGGGGAGGGTCAGTAGCAAGGGCAAGCCCCGTGTGTGTACAAGCACACACATCTGGTATGCTAAGGCAGAGCACTGCATTTAGCAGCACCTGCATGTACCACATACAGTGTTAAGTGCAGATAGCCCAGTGCTGCTGCTCCTCTCTGGCTTCTCAGGACTGGGGTTCCATGCAGAATCCCCTCACCTCAGTCTTAGGTTCACAAGCACAACCCACATTCATGGATTCTCAAATACCACCATGGCCTCGACGTCCATTTGGACCCTCTTACCTGGTGTACAGGTGCTAACCTGGCTTGCAGTTTGCTAGCCAATTCCACCTACACGTGCACACACACAGGGTTAGATTCATGGATCTCCAGCTGCTGTCCCACAGACCTGCAGCCCCTTTCCCGGCTGCTGCCACTTGGACTTTGTGACACCCGCACAGGAAACCGCCTGAAGGGCAGGAATGGACAGGACGGGTGTGCCGTGCCGGGCTGCGCGGGGGGGGGGGTGGGTGTTTTCAGGCGCCGTGGCCAGAGCCACCCCCTCTGCCCCCCCGTCTCCGCCGCTCAGCGACATCCCCAGCCCCTCCTTACCCCGCCCCGGCCGGGCAGCCGAGCAGAGGCTGTAGCGCTGCCGCCGCGCCATGGGCTGCTCCAGCAGCGCCCGCAGCCCCCGGGAGCCGCCGCCGCCGCCGCAGGGTGAGCTGGGCTGGGCCGGGCCGGGCCGGGGTGGGGACTGCCCGCGGGGCTGGCGCAGGGGGGAAGCCGCGTTGTCGAGAGCCGCCGGGGGCCTTGGTGCGGGAGGTCTTGTCCGTGGAGAGGCGCCGCGGGGGGCAGGAGTCCCTCGGGTTGGTCCCGGCTTTCAGTTCTGATGGAGCTGCGCGTCGTGAACGACCGCAGAATCATAGAATGGTTTGAGTTGGAAGGGACCCGAAACATCAACTAATTCCAACCCCCTGCCATGGGGAGGGGGACACCTCACACTGCACCAGGTTGCTCAGAGCCCCGTCCAAGCTGGCCTTGAGCACTGCCAGGGATAGGGCAGCCACAGCTTCTCTGGGCAACCTGTTCTTGTGGCTTGCCACCCTCATAGTGAAGAATTTCTTCCTGATAGCTAATCTAAATCTACTCTCACTTTTTTTCAGATGTTTCATAATCTGCTTCTTTAAAATGAATCAGTTACTGGGTTCTCCTCTCTGCAGCCTTTTATTTTTTTTTTTTTTTACTTTAGAGACAGGTTCTGCTGTTGTCCTTTTGTGCAACACTTTCTAAATTCAATGCTTCTGTTCTCCCATTAAAAATAATAGTGACCTAGCAGTACCTGACCCTCCAATCCTTCCTTTTTCTTACAAAATCTGTACATCCACCCCAAGACAGTTTACAGCACTAGGAACATTCTTGTGACTATGATTTGGCTCAGGTCACAGAGGGTTACTTTGAGTGCAAGGTGTGTTTGTAGGATGGTCTATAAGGGTATCTTTGCTATTCACTGGAAGTTAAATAAAACCATGTTTCCACATTCATCATATTTTGCTCTTTCCTCCAAGGGAGGTTTGGAAACACTTTTTAGAAGAACCTGAATGATGCAGTTACAGGTATTGTCCTCTCCAGAAAATCTTCATCCGAAGATGGATACATAAAAGTTGTTTGCATTTCATTTTACTGCATTTCTTTCCTGTGTACTTGAGTTCTAAACATCATCTGATGATAATATTCTGGCTGCAGCATTCGTGTTTTCTATAGGGGTTTATTTTTCCATTTGTTGCCTTGTGGTGGTGTGGTTTGTGACTGCAGAGATGGTGGCAGGTTGCACGGGGTGAGTGTTGTCTGTGCCACAACCGAGCCAGCGTACATCTGCAAACCGAGGAGCCCCGCTGGAAACGTCGGCAGGAATCTCTTCACACTGTACCTGCTGCCTTGTTCACCTGGTCAGCGTACCAGATTGCTCTGGCTTTCTGTCCTCTGCTGAAAGCTATTTGCACGGAATGCTGAAAGGCTCAGAGAAACAACTGAAGTAATTTCTGAGTATTTTTAGGAATTCTGTCTACAGGCCAGAATGTTCAGTTAGGATAGGTTAGGAAATGTACTCAATACATCAACTGATGTCATGGCAATGATGAAGTGCAGTTTGTAATTACAAATGAATGATCACCATTAACTGGGCAGGTCCCAGGCAGATATGTTAGTTATTTTCTAACTTAATTTAATAAGAGAGGATAATTTAAAAGAAATTTCTCTAAATGTGTTAATAGGAAAAAAAAAGGTATTTCATTTTCTTGCACCGGTGTGTAACTCACAAACAAGAGGGGCTTTTCTGAAAGGAAAGAAAGAAAGCAAAGGGGAAAATAAGGGGAAAATACCGTAGCTGTGGCCAATGTACATTCACTGTGCTTTTCATTGCTTCTCCAGCTGAAATTGCTACAGCAGGGAAAATAAAAATGATGAATTTAAAAAATAAAACCAGAAGGCATCCGAGGAATGTTGACTGCCACATGATGCTCATTCCTCTTGGGGGTAAAGGTATTGAACAGCTCACTGGGAGGATTTACTCTTTCCATATTAGAGAATTCTTTGCATTTCAGATGAGAGCAGAGGAATGCTTCCAGGGTTTTACAGCAGTGCAGGGCTCGCGGTGCATGGAAGCATTTTATAATTCAATTTATATGAAACATCTTGGTGAAAAGAGGGCTAGCTGGAAGCTACAGGGTTGATGTTTGTAGGAGCTGCAGGAGATACCTGGTAGTAGTGGGTTTGAATTGTTTCTTTTACTGGTTACACCAACTCAAAACTATGTATAAATGCTATTTTTCATGGCTCATTTATTTCTGTCTGTAGGTTACAAATACTCCCTGTCCACCTGGTACCAGGCAAGGTGAAGGCATGAGAAGTATCTAGAGGGTTAAAAATGTGAAAAGATCAAGTCTCTGGCCTCCGAGCGTACGCTGCTTTTTTCAGTTCCTGCTTAGGATAGCTTAAATTTAAGCTGTTACTCTGATTTGGTATCTGTTTCATGTTGAGCTTCATATTAGGAAAAGGAGTACCTGGAAGCCAAGGTGTGATAGAGATCTAGAGGAGGTAAACAGTGAAATAGATTTGCTGTTTCTTCTAACACAAGAACTATGTCTCCTGAAGAAATAACTAGCAGCAGGCTTAAAAACAGTCAGAATGTGTTTTACAGGGGTTTTAAGTGGGCAGTAGACCACATTGCCATGGTCATGGTGGAGGCTGAAAGTGTGAATAGACTGAAAAGGGGCTTTGGCAGGTTCATGGAGGAATGTCCCCTGACGGACTGAAACCCAGCTCCACAGGCTGGGACCCTCTGCTCTTTCCACTGCCCCTAGGGAGCCATCAGGGGCAGGGTGCTGCCCTGGGTGGGTCTGTAGCTGAGCTTACCTCCTTTTTTTGAGGAGGCAATAGCTATTATTATTGAGGAAGTAATAGCTATTCTAAATAGTTATGCCTTGTGAAGGGGTTGGTTTGACTTTGTTTGGTTTTACACTTTCTGGGAAAAATGAGATTTTACATATCCCATAGTCAGAAGTTGTTTTCCGTCCAGATTCCCTGTTCTCGCTCTTCCCCTGTCATAGCCGTCCTTCCACAGTAGGCATACCCTAACAAGGTGACCCTTACTGGGGAAGTGTTTTCTTGAATGCCTCAAAAGAACTGCAGTTACCTGAAGAGCAGCAATATTGAAGCCTCTGTTTCAAGAGCAGGTCTTACTACATTTTTTCACAGTTTATCTATGTGTGTATAAAGTATCATACAGTTCTGCTCACTGGCTTTGACATTGCTGTCACCATTTTCTCAGAAAGTACAATTTGTTCAGTTTTGTAATTATTATACAGATTTCATACGTGAATTTCCCAGGTTTTCACCCTGACATTCCCTTGCAGAAGGTTAAGTACATGCTCTTCTCAAACTGAATTTAGTCAGAAAGTTAGTAATTCGGTCAGATAGGTAGGCAGAGCTTATCTTGAGTCAGTAACTTTTATCCTTAAGTACCTGTCAGAGTAATTTTGCCATTTCTTTGTCCACAAATTTTGCCTGCCAAAACAGCTTTACTTAGTGAAGAAGTTGATGAAAGGATCAGAAGTTTTAATTTGTTTAAGCTTCTTGTTTTATTAGACAAAGAGTACTATAAATGGTAGGTTAGTATTTAAAAAGACAAACTGGTTTTTGTTTCAACAAGTGGGCACTGCTCACCCTCTGGAACAAGAGAGTTTTTCTAAGTGTTTTTTGTTCAGCCCCCCTGGAGACACCACCAGAAGTTTCCCATATACGGCCCATGCCAGCAGCTCCCTCCTGCTCAGGATGTTGATTCTGTGCTTGGCTTGGGGCAGGAAAAGGTGCTTCTTTGCATGCATCCCATCACCAGGAAACCTTCTGCACACTGCAGATGTATAAGGCAAAATGTAATAGGACATTGACCTGTAAACAGGTCAGCTCTCTTCATGTAAAAACGTATGATGTGCATCAAGCCAAAATGCTTGGTTTTTTTTTCTATGTAAAAGCAGCACCATCCTCTACTTAATATGCATAAGAACAGCAGACCTGTGGAGAAATATTGTCCATAGCCATGTGGGAGCTCTTTGGCAGCTAGTGCTTGTGGACGGTGGGTCTGGTTCTCACCTAGCTTACATGCCACCTCACCCACCAGTCATCCGTAATTCTCTTTTTTCTCTCCTTGCCCTGCTGTAACTAAAAGCTTCATCTGGTGAAAACACCCTGACTGCAGATGATCATGAAACCATAGCTGACCAGACACAGCTGGACCCAGTGGAGTGTGTGAGTCTTGCCCCTGAGGAGACAAACCTGGGTGAGCGTCTGCCAGGAGAGGAGCCTGCAGCCATGATTCTGGCCATGGAGGAGAAGATGGATTCAGTCAGTAAAAGGGAGGAGCCCGAGGGCACCGAGCCCCTGCCTGCACAAGAGGAGGAGAGCTCTGAGCTGCCAACTGTGTGGCAAGAGGAGAGCAATGGACCTTCACCTCCAGCACCTGGAGAGGATGCAGGAGCACCATCGCCAGGACCAGCAGAGGACAGTGGACTGGTGGACAGTGACAGCTCTATAGTGGAAATCATCAAGAAAGTACATATTACTGAAGAGGACCACCTCATTGAGGGTAATATTTGTGCTTCCATAAATTTAGGAGATCAAATTCTGCCTCCAGGGACTTGTGTGAGAGTGCATTTGACTTTACTGAGAACCTTGCATGAGCTTCTGGAGTCAGAATTTGGTCTGGGGAGTCTGTACAAGACAGGGTGTAGAAGGATGTGGCTGGGGAAGCCTCAGACTCACAAGTCCAAGCTGTAATAAATTTAATAAGCATTTTCAGTCACTATTTCTGCTATTTCATTCCATGTCCTTTTGGTTCTTTGCAGGTAAAATGTCCCACCATACCTCTCATTTAAAATGTAGTTTTGTGTAGCTCAGAAGCATTCTTTAGTATTTGCAGGGACCAAAGGCTCTATTACTTAGTCACGTGTTAATTATAAAGCAACCATCCCTGTGCACATGAGGCTAAAGGGTGCATGCCTAGATGCAGAAGAAAAAGCTCTTTGATGCACCCTTGGCATATCCTGTCTGTCCTAGAAGCTCGTCTACTCCACAGGCAGATAGTAGTAGTGACAGAACCAGGGGTAATGGCTTTAAACTGAAAGAGGGGAGATTTAGATTCAGTATTAAGAAGTTCTTCACTATGAGGGTGGTGAGGCACTGGAACAGGCTGCCCAAGGAAGCTACGGCTGCCCCATACCTGGCAGTGTTCAGGGCCAGCTTGGATGGGGCTTTGAGCAACCTGGTCTAGTGTAAGGTGTCCTTGCCCATGGCAGGGGATTGGAGCTAGCTGATGTTTAAGGTCCCTTCCAACCCAAACCATTCTATGATTCTGTGACATAGGGTTTGAAGAGGACTAGCTGGGGAGAAGGCTGCATGAGGAAGCAGTGGTGTCTGAGACTAAGCTGTTTCCATGTGCTGTGAGAGGGACCTTTAGCAGGAGGTGTGCTCATCTTTGAGTTAGTGCCCAGAAGACATCTTCCATGGACTGCACATGCAGGAGGTGAACACTTCAGGAGGAATCAGATTTCTCCTAAATGGTACAAAGCAGCTTGGTGCGGAATCAGATACTCCCTGGGGGAGCATTTCCTCAGGGAATAAGCAGGTGAGGCACATCAGGAGTATTTCTGTGCATGGAGAATGTGGCATCTGCAGCCTTTCTCACTCCACATTTGCCTTGAAGAAGTCAAGATGTGGGAGAAGGACTGATCTCTGTGAAGCTCAGAGCCAATTACATGCACTGCCACTGTGTGGCTTTGCTATGCGTGTCTCTGAACTGGCTATATAAATCTGACTCTTTGTATCCCAGTAGCTGAGCACAGTGGTTGGCTTGTCCTCCCATGTCTCTTCACAAAAAAAAATTTGAGGTTTCCTCTACATAAAACAGGCATCTATCCTTTGGAATAAAGTCTCATTTATGTAAGCAGTGACTGGGTGCTCACCTGCAAAACACAAAGTCTTGCCCAGCTGAAAACTCCAGTTTCATTTATCACCATTCCTGAACTGCAGGGCACAGTGCTGGAGGCAGGGAAGCATGCCCTGAGTGTTGTGGTATGACCTCATGTCCATGGAAACACATTTACAATAGACTGTTTGCCTGAAGATCAGTTATGGGGCTTTGACCACCAAATGGTTCATGCTGCTTGCATGAATGAAACAAGGCTTTTGGGGAAAAAGAGTTTTGCTCCTGTTTGTTCCAAGCTACAAGTAACATCTTGTGTGCATTATCTTTCCATGAGACACATGAGGAAGAAGGGACCTTCCAGTTTTATGTTGTGATGCATATGATACTTAGCATTTGCTTTGCTTTCCTTTATTCTTCAGCAGCTGTGCGAGTAAATTAATTGGGTAGGAGCTTCCCAGGGACAGCACAGCTTCAGCCAGACTGGCACGTTACCATGTTTTCTATTTCTGTTTTGTTCCAATTGCAAATAAAACTGCACACATGTAAAATAAAATCCAGGAAAAATAATTCAAACAGATACAACATTCATTATGTGTATTGAATAGAGCATCAAGGGGATTTTGTGAAAGCATCAGAACTTTACAGGCATGAGGCATGCATGTGGCTGGATGATGGAAAGTGACTAGGAGTATCCTTTAAGGTTTAAGGATCAGCTTTAACCTGAGGGAGGGGAGAATCATAGAATGGTTTGGGTTGGAAAGGACCTTAAGATCATCTAGTCCCTACCCCTTGCCATGGATAGGGACTCCTCGCACTAGATCATGCCACCCAAGGCTCTGTCCAACCTGACTTTGAACACCACCAGGGATGGAGCATTCACAGACTCCCTGGGCACCCCGTTCCAGTGCCTCACCACCCTAACAGGAAAGAACTTCTTCCTTATATCCAATCTAAACTTCCCCTGTTTAAGTTTTAACCCATTACCCCTTGTCCTGTCACTACAGTCTCTAATGAAGAGTACCCCCCAGCATCCCTATAGGCCCCCTTCAGATGCTGGAAGGCTGCTATGAGGTCTCCACGAAGCCTTCTCTTCTCCAGGCTGAACAGCCCCAACTTTCTCAGCCTGTCTTCATACGGGAGGTGCTCCAGTCCTCTGATCATCCTCATGGCCCTCCTCTGGATTTGTTCCAACAGCTCCATGTCCTTCTTAAGTTGAGAAATATATTTAGTCTAGATTTTAGGAAGAAATTCTTCCCTGTGAGGGTGGTGAGGTGCTGGCACAGGTTGCCCAGAGAAGCTGTGGCTGCCCCATCCCTGGCAGTGTTGAAGGCCAGGCTGGATGGGTCTTGGAACAATCTGGTCTAGTGGAAGGTGTCCCTGTCTATGGCAGGGGATTGGAATTGGAACCATTCTATGGATTCATTCAGGGGATACCTTGGTAAGGGGCATTGCAGAGCTGACAAAGCAAAATCACGTTTACAGAAATGAGCTGGGGCACTTGGTGCTTTTCTTAGTGTTCTTAATTTGATCTCTGTGGTTACTGTTCCCAGGTGAGACGGGAGAACAGGTGGAAACTGAGCTGCTCAGTGAGACACTAAGCAGGGGGTCTGAAACAAAAGAAGAAACAGGAGAAGCTGTGGATAGTGCAGCAGCAACAGAGATAGGTATGTTGACAGAGGAGGGAAGGACCATGTGGGTTATTGTTTAAGAGACAAAAAAGACTGCTGTTCTTAATGACCACATCTTGTCATACCCCTGCCGGTGTACAGCTGCTCTCTGCATTTCAACACAAAGGAGGGAGTCATCAATACTTTTATTTGCATTAAGAGATATTGGAAGCACTCAATTGGAAGTCATGCTTTTTACATGGGTTGTCTTTATATAATACAGGAATCTTACTGGTGATAAATTATCCCTTTGTTGGGAAAATGCCATGCTGGAACATACAGTCGTGGAAAATTAAAACCCATGTTAAAATCATGATTTGGATCATTATTATTTGCAGGCTTGTTTTTATGAGATAATGCCTTAATGGTGCTTTGTGATTTCCATTTCCATGACAGACAGTTGTTTTAGATCCCCTTATTCTCCTTATCAGCTGAAATCTGCAGTGTAGTGCTGGGATGAAAGTACAGTGCACAGCAAATGCAGTCACATGGTGGGAAGGAGAAATCACAGGCCAAATAAAGTGCCTTTGGAAAATCATCACACCAATGAAGAGAAGGATTTGAGGGGATAGGATCGTCTGTCTGGCAGTCTTGGAAATTATGTTCACACTTCTGTCATCAGTCTTTCTGCAAAAGTTGTTTTTCTTCCCCCACATTCACTGAGAGTGTGAGAAGGTGAACAATCATTTTTTCCTCATTTTCGCACTTATTTTTTCTGAGCCCATCACATAGGTATTTGCTTGCCACAGAAGGCAGAGCTTAGCCCATGGCAGTGCTGGAATGTGGAAAAGGATGAGCAGGGAATGCAGACACCTCTTTCCTTTCCCAGTGAATGTTACTGCAATGACTGAAATGGATCAGTGGCAGTTTAAATCTGGATACTGTTGTGTAAGGGAGACATTCTTCCATCTTGAAAGGATATTGAACAACTGAAACAAGATTCGGGGCAGGGAAGCAAGATTGCTGAAGGGAATGGAAAAGATCTTACTTTGAGAGAGATCAAAACCACTCAGAGCCTTCCCCCTGAGAGAGTATGACTAAGAGGATGTGAGCTGATCCTAGTGCAAAATAAATACTGCTCTGAAGGTAGCTGAGGTCTGTCTCTGAACAGGGGAATGCTCAATGACACACCAAGGGTGGTGAATTCAAAACCACTAGAGAGATTTACTTTTTTCACACTATATTAGCAATGTTCATGCAAATTTACTGTCAGGCTCTGTCACAGAGAATCACTGCAGTTGGATGTCTCTCACCTGCATCTTCATGCAAAATTTCCATCTTCTCTGTGTTCCCCATCCAGCCTTGTGGACTACCATTCACTATAAGGAAGTCTCATGTTCCCAACCTATTCTTGAAGGGTCTTCTGGTTGGAAAACAAGTACTTAGAGCTGGGATGGTCTGACACTATGATTTCTGCCAGTCAATCCCCTTGGGCACCATCTTTTAGCTATTGAGGAAGCCACCAAGACTTATCATTTCTCAGCTGCTGGTGGTCAACATATGTAGTTTTCAGGGGTTGGTGGAGGTTCCTCAGCTATCCTTTATCATGGAATGGAGTTTTTGCTAGTCCTGCTCAAAGCAGGGTCAGCAGGAGCAGGTTGTCCTGTTGGGTTGTGAACATCCCCAAGGACAGAGACTCCACAACTCTGGGCAGCCTTTGTCTCTTGTCCTTACTGAAGATTTAATGTCTGCTTCTGTGTCAAACATGACTGAAATTATCAAGTGATTTCAAAAGTTTATAAGAGAAAAGGCAGCAGGGTGGGGAGGAGCATAAGACTGGCAGTGTAACTGGATTTCACACAGGTGACATTAATGACTGTAAGAGGAAGACTCTGTATGAGTGCGATGGCAGAAGAGGGAGCAGAGCCAGTGGCTGCTTGTGGCTGTTTCAGAACATCCATACAGATCTGTGAGAAGAGCAGATACACCCTCCATCCTTTGATGCTTCCAGAAAATGTTCATTTTGAATTCCTGTAAGATTTAGTGGATATCAAGTTGTACCCTCCATTAATTCTTAAATTAATTTTTCCATGTGTTTCAGAGACAGCTAGGAACAAGGAATAGAAGTTACATCTCTATGAACATCCTCTTCTTAGGCCTGCTCTTCTCTCAGCATGAACACTTTCTAATGTTATTGGGCTGGGAAAATAAAAAAGCTTTTATGGATTGAGCCACAAGCCACAAACATCAGTAAGAGGTATCAGAAAAAGCTTTACATGATATACATTTTTTGAAGTCAAGCTGCCAAGACTTCAAGCATTTGGAATACCTGAGCTGTCACCTCCCTGCCACAGAGTGCCTTCTGTACACAGCCAGCACAGTGGGATAATTTTCCAACAGCAGAACAACTGTTCAGCTTTCAGTAAGGGCTTTTTCTCAGGTTCAGATAACTAACTTCAAACCTTTGAAACCTCCAACCAGCATTCTGTAGCATAAAGAATACACTGTAGCACTTTTTTTTTTTTCCATAGTAGTATGCAATTTCTCTTAGTGCTTGGACTATCAGCATATGGAGCTGCTGAAGTGCATAGGCACAAAGAGGACTGGAAGGTGAAAGTGCCCATTTAACCAGACTGTAACTAAATGCAGAGGTTAGTTTTCCAGCAAATGGAAGATCCACAGGGTGCAGTGTCCAGGACCCAAGGGGGTGTTTGCTGCTCACTCTCCCATTTTTAAAAATAGGTGAATTGAAAAGCCAGTAGTACAGTATGTGTGATGACTTAAGCAGAAACAGGGAGAAAAGGCCTTTTATCTGAGAGGGATGTTTTAGTTTTACAAATCCTAGCACACTTAAAATATAACTTCACAGCACTGCTGGTGATTAGTAACCTGTCTTTAGCTGTACAGCTCCTAATACACATTTTTGGTTTCTAAAGCAAATTTCTAAACAAAGACACATATAAGCCTGTTCCGAAAGGAGAGGTCATCTATTATATTTCCCTGCAGTGCAGTCCTCAGGAGCAATATGCTTCCAGGGACTGCCTGGGGTATTTTCCAAAACGCTAAATAATGATTTTGGAGCTGAAGCTGAATGGCAAAGCTTTCAAACAAATTTCCTGTGAAAACAGGCCCTCAGTATAATTGGTGCTATGGATCAGACAGAGAATAAAAATGTGTTCTGACGGTAAATATTGCAAAGGGACTATCTGTGTTACTGGGGACTGTTTACAGGATTCTCCGGCATAAGGAAGTAGAACACGGAGAAAAGGCCAGTTAGATATCTAACAAGGGCAAGCACATGTTGCTGTTTATTAGTTTTACTGTACAAAAGAACCTCACAGGAATCTTTATTCTCCCCTGAAAATTCTACAATCCCCTCAAAGACCTATATTTTGTGCTGCCTCTGCACATCTGACTCCAGCTGACTTCAAGTTGTTATCCTTGGCAACACCATAAACTTTAGAACCAAAACGAATACTTTTTTTTAGGGTTTTTTTGCTAGGTGGATGCTGCAGTTTTATTTTTTTATTTTTACTAGCTTCCTATAATAGAGATGTTAAAACAAGCAGCTTCTTCTAGTAAAATGATATTTTTGATATTAAAGCGGGAATTAAAATTTCAGACAGAGATAGTCAAACTTTTTGTCCGTATGTGCAAATCATTCCATGACAAAAAGCCCTGAGAGATGTACCATGCACCTTGAAGATCTGAGGAGTGGAGGAACCCAGGATGCCCCAAGAACTTCCACCTTCAGCTGCATCTCATGGTTGGTTTCCTCCTGCAAGCTGAAAATTCCACCAGCACCTATGCCAGTACAGCCCTGCTCCCAAACACAGGAGATGAAATCAGCATGGGAGCCATGCTGCCTACCTGTGTGTTAGATCATGAGCTGCAGCAGTTATATTGAACAATATTAAAGCATAAACCAAGAGGAGTTCAGTGGTAGAGAACAGCAGCAGTAATAGCAACAGAGGAAGCTGCACTTGGAAACAGACTATGAATATACAAGGGAGTCAAGAAAACTTGCTCACCACAAAGTCACTCTTTCTACCACTGGTGTTACAAGGAAGACAAGTAACAATACACATTCTTACCTCACTGTCCAACTTCTTCAGGTCATTAAGCCTGGAAAGAATGTAAGCCACTCAATGATTCAACAGTATCAGCTCTTCCTGGTAATCTTCAGTCCCTACATACTCTACAATTACAACAGATGAAAGCTATTTTTCCTTTCTCATATATGAAATATGTTTGATGCTGTCTTGAACGGGAGATGTTATATCCCCTAAATTACTACAAGATCAAATGCAGTTGATAGATGCATGCTGAACATCCCTGCCTTGAGAAATACATTTGGGTCTAGTAATCATGGTTTGTGTTGGCATAAAGGGCCAAAATACATGGAGTTATCTGCCTCTGCAAACTTGGGAAATCAGAGAGGTTGCCAAGGGCAGAAACTGGTCTGTGGATCAAGCAGCTTTCTCATGTTAAAGGCTGAGAAGAGGATATGCTCCGATGTCTGTGTTTACAAGATAACACCTCCAGAGATATGGCAATATATCTTAGTTATTGGTTTGGTTTTAAATGTAATCAAAATACAAAATAATATTCAAAAATGTTTATCAAAAGCTAGACAATCTTCAGCCCTTCACTTCATCCAAGGTAGAAGTAATCATTCCATGCGACAGGAAGCGCTGGGCAAGACATTTAGAAAGAACAAACTGAATTTCCAAGCTAACAGGTAAGTTCTGGTAGGAATTTTGTTTCAGTTACAATAAAGACAGCCCTAGAAGAGGTTACATTTGCACGCTGTCAGCTATATGCAGGCAGATATTCTCAGGATCCCAGATACGCAGCAATCTGGCTGGCGGGGACTGGCTCTTTCATTCAATGAGGAACTGCTTCCAGGTACAAACTGCAAGAAGAGTAAGGTGCTTGTAGCAGAAGATTGGGGAAGTTTGATTATATGCTTTAGCAGAGAACAAACTTTTATGAAAAGTAGGTACTGAAATTAATTTTTGCATTGTTTAATCTGTTGAGAATACAGTAAATTAAATAAAAACTGCTAAAAGAAACCTAGCAGAACATGCTGAAGTATTGCTTTACTTTCACACAAATAGAGGACCTGTTTTGTTGTTTTTTTTTAAGTAATGTGATTGAAACAAATTTTACGTGGTGAAATTAGGATGCCCCATGCTGAATTACAACTTCATATTTTGCATGCTAGCTGTTCAGTCTAGCAAACAAAAAGATAAAGTGTAACTTCCCTCTGGTTAAAACAGCATTTATTAAATGTTTGTGTACTTTGGTGAGCTAAGACCTAAGTGATAGCCATGATACTTGCTTTTCATAGGGGAGAATGATGGGGCTTAACCTTGTTGTTTTAAAGAACAGAATCAAATCATATCACTCTGCTTAAAAAAAATAATAAAAGTTTTAAACTTCTCTATGGAAGGCTCGTGGTTTATGTTGAGAACTTCTATGCTATAGCTGTAAATAAGAGAGTTTATTTCAGTTATTCTAGAATTCCTATAACTGAAGAATACATATTTAGATCCAAGCCATCCAAGAAACTGTGCAACTGGTCTCCACCTAAAAGCTAAAAAATCAGAGCCAAAAGTGGATTTTAGTTCTTGACTTCTTGCAGAATGGCACCTACTTACTGATACAAACATTTTCAATGGAAGTATGTGTTGCATCTTATTAGCATGCATTGTTTTTCAGGTGTTTCACTTACATTTCAGTCTCAGACTTTCCCTTACTGGCACTAGTGTATTTACATCACTTTGTACCAGTGAAGTCACCCAAGGGAGTTCTAGACGGGACTTCTACCAGCAAATGAACAAGAGAGCACATAAATAAAGAATACAAAATTGCCACCTAGTGTCAGGTTCAAGGTTGGCAGAGAGGCACCATAGCACAAGTCAGTGGAGAATAATGTGAGAGGGATGACGGGATAGCCATAGAGAGCATACAAGGCCAAACTTGGCTCGTGTTCAACACTGTGGAAATCTGCCTAAGATGAACTTTAACTAAATCCGCTATAATAAGTGAAATGCATTCCACAAAGCATGTGAGCAAAGATGTAACAGAGAAACACAAATACAAATCAGGAATCTCTTTAAATGTAACCCCATTTAATTTCATTATTCCTAATTAATTTTAGCTGACAAAATGAAGCAACATTTGCTTTGTGTTTTCTAGAAAGTTATATTCATGTTAGTACTGATCATGTTTTTTCTTACTTCTTGAGTCAGAGTTGTAGAACAACATTAATAGTATAGCCAAGGAGAGAGAACAGAGCAGAAGCCAAGGCTAATAAAGTTTACATGTAAAAAGTTTATATGCAGAGAGTCAGGTACCTTTCAAAGGTTGTTGCTTTTAAGTTCACTGTTTGAAATATCAAAAGCATTTTATCCTGCTTCTAATAAAAGTATCTGCCATTTTGTCAAGAGAAAGCAAGATAATGCTATAAAAAAATCCATACGTTTCTACATACTTGCTGTGACAACCTCATTGTTAATTTTTTTCTGTATAGATACAATTTACAACCTCAGTAAAAAGGAGAAATTGTCACTCACATCACAAGGGGTAAACAGGGCTGACTCTTCTCACAACTTTTCAAGTGGTGTTCTGGTGTATGCTAAAGCAATAACAGGAATGCATGAGAAATAAAAAACATAGTTACTGTAATAGTGCAGCTGAAGTAAAGGGAGCTAGAAAGCATAGCAGACAAGCAGGAAGGTAAGGAACCGTAATTGGGATTCTTCCAGTTTATCCAAGATAGCTGAAAACTTCCTGTCTTGAAGGATTATTTTAATCCTTAAACATTAGCAGATAGATAATAGCCTATTCTTTTGGTATGAATTATTTCTTACTGGATAAACAAGATAGATAAGGATTTTTTTGTAGTATGTATCAAAGCATAATCAGGAAAAGTTTGTTCCCAGAATAGACCAGCACAGTTTTGAGATGTGATTATACTTTATTCTCATTAAACAACGTTTGTTTTAATGTTTTGTTTTAAATCAAAAGATACTCAAAGTTGAACTGCTATGAAAAAGGTTACAGGCAGATAATTACAACTGATTTATAAAGTTAGCACTTCAGAAAAGCATAATTGCCTTCTTTTCTGAAGCTGTTATTAACTTTAACCAATTTAACCAATTGCTTCCATATGAAGAAAATATGAGTCTCAATAGTAATCTACTCTGTAAAGAGTTTAAGACAGTTGAGAAACAAATACAGAAAAAGTCCCCAAAAGTGAAGATGTACGCTAAGCAATTCAAGTGTTATTTTCCCATTTCTGTAATTTTCTTTCCTATTTAAAATTGTTACTGAAAGCCTACTATTACAAGTCATTACAGTTTCCCATTTTCAGATCAGTCATACTATAACTGCCATACATTCACCCAGATGTGCATTTTAATACTTGAATATCCAGTGACCATCATAAACTAAGGGCCCTGTGCTGCAATCAAGCTCAGCTCATTTTAGCAGGACCCCTGGAGGTTTCAGGGTGTGCTGGCAGACAGCTCACTGCAAGCTCATATTTTACAGGATTCAAGGCCACAGTCCAGAGGAAAGCACCTTTTCTTGGTAAGTTCTGGATAGGCTGCACCAATGGGCTATTGTATGAGGTTCAACAAGGCAAAGTGCCGCGTCCTGCACTTGGGCCACAACAACCCCATGCAATGCTACAGGCTTGAGGAAGAGTGGCTGGAAATCTCAGCGGAAAAGGACCTGGGGGGTGCTGACTGATGGCTGCTGAACATGAGCCGCCAATGTGCCTAGGCAGTCCAAGAAGGCCAAAGGCAT